GACAGAAGAGGGCTGTCTCTTGGCTAGGATAGATCTTTGCTCTTATAATGTCATTAATGTGGCTTGTTCACAAGATGTTCGCTTGCTGCAACAAGCACAGTGACTCAAGCCAACGTGGGCAGATCCATGCTCATGGCATGCTGAGTGGGGAGGGAGATGGACAAGCGTGATGTGGGGAAAAACAGACATCAGGAGCTAGGGACTGGGAAAGAGCCAAATGACCCAAAGGCTCCAGGGCCAGAGACAGCTGAGATGGCAAAGAAACACTTCCAACAAAGTGTAGGGGTACCACAACCCACTCTTCTCTTCAACTCCATCTCTTCCAGGCCATGCACAGGACTACCAGTGGATCGGTCTCAGTGACAGAGCCGTGGAGAACGACTTCCGCTGGTCCGATGGGCACCCACTGGTGAGCCTGCAGCCCATGGTGTGGTCAGACATCAGCCTCCAGTGGGAGGGAAGATATTCCTGTTGGATGGGAAGAGCCCCATGAGCTATATCCTCAATTGGGTTGGATGTTGAGTGGAGGCAGCCCTTAACTTTGTAAGGCTCATGGTTTTTCCAAGCCTTTAGCAAAGATGGTCAGCTAAGCTCCTGGACACCATCACGATAGAAATAACTGTTGTAGTAGCAGTGCTGACAACCCACAGTCTCTGCTGGTGAGATGCATGGGGAAGGAGGGAGTAGGAAAAGAGAGAGGGGAGGGCTTAGCCTTAGGTGAAGGGTTTTCCTCTCTTGGCAGCAACTGGAGAACTGGCGGCCCAACCAACCTGATAACTTCTTCTCGGCGGGCGAGGACTGCGTTGTGATGATCTGGCACGAGAAAGGCGAATGGAACGACGTCCCTTGCAACTATCACCTTCCTTTCACCTGCAAGAAAGGAACAGGTCAGCACCCTGTGGCCTGCTGGCAATGAGTTGGGGGCTCAGGCACTGGGGCTGGAGCCAGGGCAAGGGTTTTGTGTCCCCAATCAGAGCCCTCACTCCCACACACCAGCTCTGTGCCCTACCACGGACATGAATGGCCACTGCAATGCCTGGCTCTTTCTGTCTATCCAGGAGGCAGGAACAGAGCCCTGAGGCAGACAGCTACTTAATTTTAAGGCCCATAGTAGAATTTCCATGTCACCCTGCCCCTAAATTTTGTGGAGAGAGGCAAACTCAAAGGAATTTAAGGTTTTATTAACTTTTTAATCAACTTTTTTTTATTATTGCTTTCATCTTTTTTCCCCCCAAACAAAGGAAACAACCCCTCTGTGGATTTAGCAAAAAAAGTCTGGCAGGCTCAAGTGATGGCACCTGCCCAGATGGGACCCATACACCTTCTAGATCAGAGATGTTATTCCAAGGAGGGAATAGCAGGGGAGGGCATCACTCCCAGAGCAACTCAGGGCTAGGCAAGGATGGCTGTGGGCACAGCAGCCTCTTTCCACCCCAGAAGTAGCCACATTTCAAGCAGCCACTGATCATTTCCTCTCTCCAACACTTAGAAACCCCAGGGGATGGGGTGCAGGAGAAGCAGGGTGACAAGGCTGTGCACTTCATGTCTCTGCCCTTCTCCTGCAGTGGCCTGTGGGGACCCCCCCGCGGTGGAGAATGCCAGGACCTTTGGCCGGAAGAAGGACCGCTACGAAATAAACTCCTTGGTGCGGTACCAGTGCAGCCAAGGCTACATCCAGCGCCACGTGCCCACGATTCGGTGCCAGCCCAACGGGCAGTGGGAGGAGCCACGGATATCCTGCATAAACCGTAAGTCTCGGCCCCCCTTGCCTTCAAGTTAGGGCTGATGCATCCCTGCAGCTGGGAGAAGGAGCTGGGAATGAGGGGGGCATCACCTTAGGGTGCAGGTTAGCTCTGAGCCAGGGGACATCATGGTCTCTTGACTTTCTGAAAGCTCCCCTGTGATGGGGCCATGGAAGCTGGCATCTTCTGGGCAGGTGGGGACCACAATGCCCGGCTGGAGGGGCAGCCTGGGCAATTCCTGCCCTGGAGATTTCTCCACCTAGGCAGGGCAGGGGCAGCTTCAGAGCCAGGAAAGGGCAACAAGGAGCTTACCAAGGGGCCAGGCTGCTTACAGAAATGAAAGAAGAAGAAATGGCTTCTGAAAGAGTGAGTTTTGGCATGACCTGCATCAGCAGAGAGAATAGGAGGGGAGCGTTCTGGTGACCCCAGAGCCCCCCCAGCATCCCCTGCCCTGGAAGCAGACAGGAGTCCTGCAGCAGAGCTAAGCCAAAGGACAGGGCTGGGCTCCTGACCCTTCTCCTGTCAGGTCTCCAGCTGATGGCAGCCAGCCCTCTCCCACTGCTGTCCCAGCCCACTCCCAGGCCTGCCTACACCCCTGTCCCATCCCTGCTCGCCTGCAGCTTCCCAGTATTTTCACTGGCCTCGGCCAAATCACATCTGTCCAGTGGTCTCCTTCCCAAGTTCTAGTCCAGCTGGGCAATTCCAGCTAAAACAATGGTCCCACAGCCAGGGAACATTGATACGGGCTTAAGGGACAAACATCCGCCCCAGGGAGGAGATGGAAGGAGGAGGGATGGAGGAGGTGTCTGTGTGGTGCCGACCAAGCTGCTGACTCCTTTGGCACTGCTGCAGACCCGGAGAGCTGCAGGCTGCTCTCAGCACAGACATAAGTGAACAGGAACAAGAGACCTAGGCTCTTCCCAACCAGCTTTTGCCCCTTCCATCAAAATGCTCCCACAGTTATCACACCAGAGCAGTGCCAGCCGTGAGGGAGAACAGCAGTAAAGATCAGGCAGAAACCTTGTCCCTGCCAGCCAGACAGGACTGTTTCCTGTCCTGTGCCCTGTGCACATCCCACTGCTGATGGATATTTCCCTCCCTGTCCCAGGAGATCAGAGAGGGACTGGTAGGGCAATGGGGCTGATAGGGAAGAGGTTCCCACGCCCACCCTGTTAGCAGAGCTGGCATCCCAGCAGGCATGGGGAATGGATGGGACAAGCATCCATGAAGATGTTCCTGCCTGCTGCTGCCTGTATTTTTCCAGAGAGCCAGGGGCTGGGATGGTCAGTGTGGGACAAGCAGCGTCTGTTAGGTCTTGCTAACAAGGTGCTTTTTCTTCTCCTCTTCCCACAGCCTCCAACTACCAGCGCAGGCTATACAAGAGGAGCCCCAGGAGCCGGTCGAGACCCAGCGGCAGAGCCGTGCACAGACCCACCCATTAGAGCAGGGCGAGAGAGACCGAGGGGGAAAGCGAGAGAGAGAGATTTTTAATGGAACAGTTCTATTAACAGAGTCGATTTCTTCTTCTTGTTGTTGCTTTTTTGTCATATAAGGAAAAAAAAATTATATTACAGACAAACCCACCTTTGTGTATATATATAAAAAAAATTAATGTTTTTTTCCAAGCACCAAAGCAAAGCAAATTAGATTTCAGCATTTTTACTAACCGTCCGGTTCCAATTATCTTCGTGCCTTCGGGGACAGGGAGGGGGGTGGGTTTGCAGAGGGCAGGGGGTTAAGTTAAATAATAAAGATGATTATTTTTTCCTGATTTTATCCACGAACAATGTAATTATTTCTGTTATTTAATCTCCGGGGTGAACAGCACCTTTTGGGGTTTTATTTTATTTTTTTTTCCAGAATCCTCCTACTGCTGCAGCGCGTTGGGGCAGGCGGGGAGGGCTGGGAGGCTGTGGTGGAAGGGGCTGCAGAAGGAGGGAGGCAAGGGGATGCTGAGACCTGAGATCTGGGGGCTGCAGCCCCTCTCTGCTTCCCTGCCACCCTTCCCCCCCCCGCAGCACAGCACCCATCCCAGGCCGACGTGCTCTTTCCAGGGGACCGTGCGGGGCACCAGTGTTCCCTGCACCTATTTATATTTTTGAACATATCCTATTTTGAAAGACTGATAAATAATAAAGAGAGTGAAATCGGAACAGGCACTTCGTCAGTGTTTTTTTGGGAAGAAGGGAGGTGTCTGTGTAGGCCAGGGTGGAGGGGGGTATCTCCCACGGCAAGACAGCAGGGAAGGAGCAGGAACCCAAACAGGGTGCTACACGCTACAGACAGCACCCAAGGGTGCAGCCCTGGGGACAAAAGCAGTGTGGGGGAGGTCCCAAGCCCCAAGCAAAGGAAGACACTGGGGTAGGACATTACCCTTCCCGTTCAGCTCTCACCCCAGGAGAGGTTAACACACATGTCTAAAGCCCATCCCAGCAGGAAATGCTTCATTCTTCAGCTTCCCTGTGCTCAGGTGGGAGCAGGGCTGAGCCAATGACAATGAGAAGATGCCTAGCCAAGGATGAGACAGTCCCAGGTGTCCAGTCAGGGATCCCCAAACCCTCTTTCCTTGGCAAACCCCTCTCCTGCTGGGACAGAGATGGGGATACAGCCACCTCGCTCCAGGGATTTCTTCACTGATTTATTAGGAGAGGTCCAGGAAAATACATCTTTTCATAACCAAACACTCAAAAAAGAAGACACTAGAGTTCCAGTGGTGTCCAGGCAAGGGGCGCATGGAGATAAGGCACTGGCGCTCCCCTGGGGACAGGCACAATGGCATCCTGTGGTGGGATGGGGACGGGGCTGGAAGAGGAGCTACCATAGTGGCATCCACTCTGTGCCTCTGGCCAAATCCAGCCTTGCCCTGCTCCCATCCCATGAGCTCAGGGGCAGGACCAGCCTGGGGGGGCAGGCGGGTGTCGGTGATGTGCTGCCACTGCAGGAAGGTGCCACAACACGCAGGGTGGCAGAGGTCAAGTGAGGCGGCAGCAGTCCATGGGAATGGTCCTTGTGCACACCCCATACCAAGGATGGTCCCACGCTGCCCCAGCTGGCAGCCGCCTTGAGCAGCTGCATGAGCCGGCTGCTGAGCAAGATGTGAAAAATACAAAGGAAGGAAACAAAATAAAAGAAAAAATAAGCCTCCCCACCACCCCGCCTCCCCCCCCAGTCACCCCCAGAACAGCCCTGGGAAACACCTGACACAAGGCACCATCAGGCTGGAAACATCCTCCGGCCAAGAAGAAGCCCTGCTGCTCCTTATCTCTCCTTGTAGCAGAAGACCCCAAACCTGCCCTTCCTGGGGAAGCCGAAGCTGCGGACACCAGGCTCTGCAGGGCCACAGTTGGGCCGGGGCTTGACGATGGGGTAGCGGATGCTGCCGTCCGCCAGCCAGCCGGCATTGCAGCGGTCCAGGCCCAGGAACTTCCAAGCAGAATAGAGGTGCCCCACTCGTGCGATTTCAGCCCCTGCATCCTGGCAGCTCTGCTTGGCCTCCTCCAGCGTCATCCCAGCTGGGTGGTCCAGGTAGAAAACCTCTCCTAGGAGGAAGAGGGGAGTAGGAGAGGGGAGCATCAGTGCTGAGCATCATCTGGAGCATCTCCATCTGGAGCATCTGCACCAAAGCTGAGCCCTGTGCCCTAAGGGGGAAGGAGGACGTGGGATGCCACTGGTTGTACACAGCATCTTCCCCAGGGTCCCACCCCCAGGCCCTGGCTCAGCACCCACCTCTCAGCGTGGAAGAGAAGCAGAAGGCATCAAAGCGGTGCAGATGCTGGTCACGCAGGCCGTAGCTGCGGATGCCCGGGGCGAGGTGCAGGCCACCACAGGGCTTGCGGGGCACACGGATGGGGTACTGCACAGTGCCGTCAGCCAGCCAGCCCGCATTGCACCAGTCCAGCCCCTCGGTCCAGGCCTGGAAGAGCTGGTTGAAGGTGGCAAGGATGGCACCTTGCTCCTGGCACACTTGCTCGGCTTCGTGGAAGTTGAGGCTGTACTGCCCGCGGGGAGGCTGGTAGGGGAACACGATGCCTGGGGGCAGATGGGGTGCTCAGCCAGCTCCACAAGCAGCCCACCACCCCGTCCGGCCTGATGGGGGTCCCTGACCCATCCCAAATTTAGGCTCTGGGACAAGGACTACCTCAGGGTGGCACAGCCCAAGGCTCAGGCGTGCAGGGGCATGCAGCCTCCAGCAGTGAGTTGCCAGCGACACCTGGTGGCACAGGGGCTTGGTCCTGTGGACAGCATGGGGATGCACAGACTATGATAACAGCGATGCAGGGACCACCATCACAGGGATGTACACACAGACAGTGGTCCCAGGGAGGCATGGACCACCCCTGTGGGGATGGACAGACCATCATGACGGGGATGCACAAGCTACAGGACCAAGCAACACAAAGGTCAGCATCACAGGGACATATGGGCCAGGATCGCAGGGATGCACAGATCATCAATATGGGGATGAATGGACCACTGTCTTGGGGATGGATGGACTACGGAATCATATGAACCACTACCATGGACTACAGTGACAGGCATCAGAGGGGACAAGCCACCATGGGAGGGAGGGCCTGGAGGCCGAGGGGGTGGGCAGGGGCACAGCAAGGGGGATATTTCTCCATCTCTGAGCCTGGTGGTGGAGTCAGGGCTGAGTCAGGTCCCTCATGGCAAGTGAGCAAGAGGTGTTGGACCAGTCACCAAGGTTCATCACAAGATGCATGAGGACATCCAGAGCTGGGAGGCAAGGGGGCAGCTGCACATGATGCAGCACAGTGAGAAGATGGGTGGGTACAGGCAGAAAACTGCGGCCACAGGGTCACCCCCAACTCTGACCCTGCAGTAACATCCCCAGGCTGAGCAGAGTGCCCTGGGCTCACTGCTGCTGAAACCCCACAGTCAGGCAGCCTCAAGCCACCATCCCGTCACACCAAGCATCCCAACCCCTTTCTGCCCACAGCTGGGCTCCTGAAGGCCCCTGCCTGCTACCTCCCCCAAGGAGAGGGTGTCCCGGGAAGGCCAGGCTCACTGGCTTGGTGCAGGGGATCACGCTGTCCCCACCATGTCCCCACCTTGCAGCCGAAGGTCCACCACATCGCTCTCATCCTCCAGTGCATCGATGACCTCACAGCGGTATTTGCCATCATCCTGCAAGCGTACGTCACTGATGATCAGTGAGGCTTCGTGTCGGCTGGTCCGGTGGAGGTGAGCGCGGCCTCGGAAGTCCCCAAAGGCCATGTAGGTCTTGCCAATGGCCACCAGCACGTCCTGCTCCTTGGTGTAGTCATCCCGCAGCTTGGACCACTTGATGCGGATCTTGCGCTTGACCTCCAGGTCGGGCTCATGATGGTAGTGGCAGGGCAGGGTGACGTTGGCACCATTGAAGCTGTAGACGGGGTCTTTGGGGGTCTCCACCACCAGTCTGGCCCCATTGAAATAATCTACTGGGAACAGGGAGGGAAGGCATGATGGTCAGGTCAGGATCCAGTGCCCAAAATCCCCAAATCTCTCTGCAGCTGCTCTACTTCTTCTCTCCAGCCATCTCCTCTTCTGCCTGAGCATCCCATGAGCATCCCCCAAGCATCCCATGAGCATCCACACCTGCTCCACTGGGCCCCACATCCTCCCCAAGAGATGGATCCCAGCCCCCCTTGCACCAAGCTGCCAATCCCCAATATACCTTTCTCCTGCCCGTTGTCTTTGTCATTCATGATGTGGTTGTAGTAGAAGCCATTGTAGAAGGGACGGTGGAAGCCACTGGCCAGCCACAGCAGGGTGGTCTCCAGGAGCAGCAGGAGCAGCAGCATGGCTGAGGAGCAAGGCTGAACTCTGAGCCTGGGCTGCGGAGCGGGAAAGGTCTGTGGTAACACCCCAGAATAACCAGGAGCACTCCAGTGCTGCCCAGCACACAGCAGCAGCCAAACCCCATTGCAGAGGTGCAAGCAGAGGGATGGATAGAGCCAGCAGAGCAGCTCACCTGCCCCCAGACCTGCCCCACAACAAGTGCTCCCAGTCCCCTCCATCCTCATCCTCCCACCTGGGTCACACCATGCACCACTGCATTCACCGCTGCCACCCCTTGGGGCCTGCGGAGCAGCCGGGACAGAGTAGGGAGCTGAGACCAAGGAGAGGAAATGGGATCCCAGGGCATCTTTTGAACAGGGAGCACTGGGAAAACATCACGTAGAGGGTGTGGGGGAGAGAAGCGGCTGAGCACCGCTGTAAGCCACAAGCTCGGTTTACAGAGGCAGCAGAGCGTGCAACCCAGCCGAGGAAGGGAGGAGAGAGGTCGGGGTTGCCTCCGCTGCCCCAGTACCGGACAAAGCCCGGCAGCACCCAGTCAACCTGGCTGAGGACCCTCAGCTCCCACCCGGGGCTGCCGCGTTGCATCACAGACGTGGCTGGTGCTGACCCCAATCGACATATATCACCCAAAACCACGTCCCCTGGGCAGGGAGGAGCCTGGCTGCTCCATGGCACCACAGATCCGTGCTGCTCCGACCTCTGGGTGCCCCGGATACCCAGGCGTGCCCTGCACGGGGTTCACCCAGGGTGGCTCACAGCAGTATTTGCCGGCT